TATTTTCACGCGAGAAGAAGCACGAGAGTCGGAGAGAAGGAGGGTCTCTTTGTTCGAATCTCTCTTCCCGAATGCCAGTAGGTCACTTGCATCGACACAGATGCCGCTACGATTCCCTAGAGGGTGCAGGGAAAAAAGAGGAGAGATCGACTTCTCGAAGAAGCTTCGAAGAGAAAAGTTGTATTATCGGTCTTACTTTAATAGCATCCTATAGACGCTATATTGGAGATATATAGACTTATAGACGAACGCTTAATCGAAAAAAAAATTGTTCGAATCAGCACATTTCCGACTTTTTTTTTCATTAATTCAGTTAGAAGTCAATCACGTGATCGAATTTTTATAACTGCAATTTAATGTTGCGACTAGAAGCTAAATAAAAAAAAAGATTTGAAGACTCCAGAATTTTTTTCTTATGCGAAGCACAAACAATCAGATCGAGGCTCGAAAAAGGGTTATTATCATGACAAGACTTCTGGAAATAAAGTCTCGGAGATGCCATTGATTATTTTTACGCTAGAAGGAGCACCTCGACTCGAATGTCTTTGTTCGGCCCGTCTTTCCGGTACCGGCAGTGGGTCACTTGCATGGAGAACGACGCGGAGCTCTGGTACCCCTTGTTGGGGAAACGAAGAACTTTGAGCGAGAAGTTGTTATCGCTCCGGGCCGGCGCACCCTTCCATGTTGAAGAGGATGCGCCGGGGAATCTCGCGAATCCTTTGTTCCGGCTGTAATACATGGACAGTCCTACTATAAGTAATCCCTTTGTTTCTGTGAGAGAGATCCTCGACTTTCTATTTTCCATTTAACTTTCCTGAGCCTCCGGATCAGCTCTCATCATCCGGAACTGGAACTTATGGCGTGTACTAATTTCACATGATGGAATTACTATAATATTATATTGTAGACTTAAAAGTTTGTGCACGTTAATACTTGGATTACATTAAATATATTTGGGCTCTTACTTTTGGTTTTTCATAAAATTTTACAAATTTATTCTGTAATAATTAAAATTTATATTTAACTAATTATAGTTATAACACATAAAGCTTGCATTATTTTCACTAAATAAAAAATAATGATAATGTATAATTATTATTTCATTAATGAAGAATTGAAAGATATCATGAGATAATTTGGACAAATTCTGAATTTTTGCAAAAATCAAGTAAACAAAGTTATTTCATCGCTCGTAAATATATTTTGTAGACCATCTAGTTATTTAAAGTCAATTTGATGCTTTCAAAGAAAGTAAGAAAGCTCGTTTTGCCAGCTCGTATTCGCGTTAAATGTAAATGCAACGAGCGCATTCACATCTCGAACGTTTTTAGAAACACATTGCTGGATTCCATTCTGGTTTAATAGTCTCCGCTAGCTGGATAACGTTTTTTCCAGAAGAAACTTATAAAATTTGTGGCCTTTTAAAAATATATCAGAGTAATTCAAACGTTCTTGTTGCGAAAAAATAAGCATGTGACAGGAAAAATTTTGATGATATGCTATTTAGAGTTGAATCGTTATTCGTAATTCGATGCAATTATAATAAGTCGCGCAATCTAATTATAACAATAATGTAATAAATATATTTTTACAAATAATTTTTAGTCACGAATTGTAATATTTTAATTTTATAAATAATTGTTGTTTTTAAACATCATGTCAATATTATACTAGATTTTTGAAAATACAATACAAGTTGAGAACGAGCTTTTTTCCATTAGAGTAAAGCTTTTCCGAAATTGTCGTAAAATAAAATAGAAATTGTAGAATCAAAGAATGCCTCTCACACATTTCCTCTCTTTCTCTTTTTCTATTTCGTTTCTCGTAAGTAATTACTTTTCTTCCCTCTTTAGGATGGTAACGGAAGTAGGCGAAGTTCGATCGTAACGAATTTTACGTTCGCCTATATACCGCCTTTTATCGTCTCGCGTCCTATGACCGAGTCCGCGCTGATGTTAAGGCTCTAAATAAGGGCGTCCTTAGGAACCCTAAAAAATCCCCAGTGGTACCTTTTTTTTTTTTTTTTGCATCCCCTATCTTTCTCTTTCCGTTTTTCCTGCCTCTGCCTTCAAGAAGATCGTCTCTTCGGCACAATGTACATAAAATGAAGTCAAGCGGTTTTAGCACCGAATACGTCTCGTTCTCCTTTTCCTCCTTTTATCTTCGTGCGGTAAAGTTGAATTCACGAGTCTCCACTTCGATAGAAATCATTTCAGACTTTTAATTCGGTCCATGAGAGATCGTGTCGGGTGCTTGAAATATATCCTTCGTCAGAATTTATAGCGTAACTTTCCCCAACGCACTTTTGCTTTAATTAATAAATCTTCATTGGACGCGCGCAAGTAGACGGCGGATATTTTTTTTTATTTGTGATTAGTAAGAGACAATTTTAATTTAAGAACTGCGAAATGTCAGATTATATAAGATGTTGCAATCTCAAGTTTCTCTCTCAGTTTGCTTTCATCGAGTAATCCTCTTTCAAGGATCTCATTATATCGCAATCGATGAAAAGTTGGGCCAAATATAATAAAGGGAAAGATATAGTCCTGCGCGCAACCTCTCACACTAACAGCAGTTCTTTATTATTTTGCACCGTCGAGCATGCGGTAGCGGAGCAGGATAGATTTTTTTTCACATTTATTTGTATCGTCCCGCATTATTGAATTCCAATAATCCGCGACGCCGCCGGTGTAAGTCCCTTTACGGTACACCACGATTTACGATCCACCCCTGTCGTTTTCCGGCGCCTTTTCTTTCCTCGATTTTTCGACAGGCTCGTCGAAATTATCGGAGTTCGCCAATCTTTCGCCACTATTGTCGCGATTATTGAAAATTGTTTCACATCTTTAGAGGTAATCTTAATTTTTCACGCATCTTGAATTTGTTTAAAACAATAAATACACTACATAACTACGCGAATCATAATCTTACATTTTGCATAATTAATAAAATACCTTTATCGAACTTATTGCATTCGAATAAGTTTCATCATCTCTCGAAGGTAATTTCTGTATTTCATCTGATGTTGTATTTCGCTCTCAGTCTCGTTCGATAGGCAGGCTTACGGCTCGTAAAATCGCAGGAAGTGTTATTGTGTTGTGGTATCAACATGGTTGCACAACACCGGGCCTTTAATCGAAGTCGTAAAAATCTCAAGTGTTTCTCGACGATCTTACGCCCCGATCGCACGCCGTACGACAACGCGAACAAAACTCGCGACGTACCAATTCAATTTATTTCTTCGACACCGGCGCTGAATCCTCACGGATCCAAGATGGATGGACGGATAAATGGATGTACGTGGCTCCATACAGTTCTCTCGAGCATTCGGGCAGATGCGTCAAGGACTCCGGCTTTCTCTCTCTCTCTCTTTCTCTTTGAATGCGTTGAACGAGGATATTTTTTTCTCTCCTTGTCTTTCTTTCGTTTATTTCGTCGTTCGTTCCAGCCTCTTTTTTCTCTTTACTCTCTCCACCGTGCACGATTGTGCCCCTCGAGCGGTCACTCCAAGTACTCGAAGACCTCTTCACAATCTGGAAATATACTTTCATCTTCGGGGAATCTTATAGAAGAACAGGACGGCACGTATCGACGAGAACAAAGCCAAGATACTTGGCCTTCGAAAGATATGATAAAATTTTTTCTATCTTTCGAAATATCTTTTTTAGATTAAAAAATTTATTTAGATTCAAAAGCGCGATTGTTTGATTTTATATATATATTCGATTTTGGCGCTGTATAAAGCAATTACTATGATATTTCATTGTAAGGTGACAATATTTTCTTTTTTAAAAAAAAAAAAAAAATTAGCTCAATTAATGTATTATATAATTATGTAAATGCAGATATTTTTTTTTATTCTATAAATGTTCCTTTTTCGCAAAACGGAATGACTGATTATTTAATAAAAATGATAAACATCTATATTGACATTGGCGAAAGATGAATGTTAGGTGGTACAAAAACATACATTTCTACTTTTTCGACATGGACGCTTCGTTGATTCTTTTGAGGATCTTATTTTCAATTTTCTTTTTCGTAACAGTCGTTATTTCGACTACGGACTTCGCACTCTCTTTTTGCCGTTGTTTTCGTTTCCGTTCTCGGTTCTTTCACCATGTATACCTCTCCACTGGCTCAACTTTTGCTTCTGCTTTTAGCTTTAGCGGACTTTTCCAAGACTGCGTTAAGATTCACTGAAGCATCTTTTGGAAGTATCTCGTTTTGTGCCTTCTTGTTGCCCTTTCTGCCCCCTGTCTGCTTATGAGAGACCTTCAACGCGCGTTCTCCGAAACTTCCATTCAGTCTTCTACGTTCCATGCTTTGCCCTTCAGTGGCTTGATCCAGGTAAAACGCGTTTCACCGCTACCTTCTTTTTCCGTCCACTCACCCTTCCTGCTCGTTGCGAAAATCTTTATGGCGCTTCGGAGCTACCGCCTTCGCAGTTTATTCGCTATCGAGATCCATGCCGTTGCATTCTTCGGATTTTCCACCCTAACCGCCGCCTTCGTCGTCGGTCTTTTTACAACCGCAGTATCAGGATCCGCGTCCTTTTCTCCTCCCGAGGGCCACGGCAAACGTTCCACGGAACCCTTTTAACGACCAGGGCTGGCACGGAGGAAGCGACAAGCTTTGTTGACGTCGCCGACGTTATTACTCTGTGCGCGCGGACGAGCCACCAGATGGGAAATTCTGCATTCAAATTATCGTCGCTTTCTCGCAGACGAGATCGGAATATGACGTTATTACGGCTATCGGTTCCGCCTAAGCTAATCCGGAATCTATTGCTCGACGCGATATTTTGCGATTAAATCTTTGAGCTTGGATCTATTGTATAATTAGAAGTATAAACAAATCTGATTTTTTATTTTGACGAAAAAATATCGAAAAAGAGAAATGTATGCATTATTTTTATACGTTGATATATATCTATTATTATGTGTTATACAAGAAAGAATATAATTGCATATAATAATATATTGTTAATAATTTGCTTTCAGATGGAAGATGAGGGCAATCATGGCAACGACGATACTAGATGCTTCATCCTCTCAACATTAGCTGCTTTGCAGTGGTCAAGAGTCACGTGCGTTCTTTGTCGCGCTGCCATGCTAGTATTTGACAGGTACCCGTTGGTGGACGGAACGTTCTTCTTGTCACCCAGACAACATTCGCCCGCTTGTGCTGAGGTATGTTTTATTTCTGATTTTTATAAATTTTGTCGAATTGCAGAATTTTTCACGAGAAAAATTAATTATTAAACACAATCGTATACAAATAATGACAAGTTATTTATTTAAAGATGTAGATTTTTATCAATCTTATCAAAACGAAATTAATATTCTATTTCGTTCTAGTTTCTCAAATGTTCATAAAACTTTTCAGTGATATCTTAATTATTAGCAAGATGATCTGATTCGCTGAGCATCTCTCGAAAATTGTCTGTATTATTCTATAACAAATCAGTAGCAGATGCTATCTTTAACGAATTAATTTTCTCTATTTAAATCGATCGACTACAAATTTAAGTGGCATAGAATCTCGCGAGAAATGAAAATCGTCGCTGTCGTCGGGCGATTTATTTTTTGTCGTGGTCCGCGATCTTAACCGCAACATGTTGCATATGGTGTAAGATTACGATGGCACGTCCGGTTCTTTGGTGTTTCGTTCCAGGTGAAGGTCGAAGGTCGCACGCAATTTTTGTCAGCCGTGTGCATGAGTTGTTTGGAGGGCAGCGGCGGGCAGCCTGTACGTTGTCGTTTCTGTACCCAACCGTGGGATGGTTCGAGCCTGGTCCTCGGTACCATGTACAGTTACGATATCTTCGCTGCCATGCCCTGTTGCAGCGAACGACTCAAGGTAAGTCGCCGAATTCGTGACCAGTCGATCCGATCGAATCCTTGACCCTTCAACTCACGAACTGAGTTTGATATATCGCTGCGTACGACGATGCGCTCACTCTTCTAAAAAATTCTTTGACGGCATATAATATTCTGTATTATTCGTAAAATTACAAGAGTCAAATTTTCTTCTTTTATTTCACAAATGTATTGATATTTCACAATCTGACCCAGACGAGATTATATTGGTTTCATTTAATTATTCTCAAATTCTTTCCGTCCATCATTTTATAGAGAGCCAGTAATTCAATGAAATTATTTATCTCGCAAAACTGTTGCGAAAGGGGCTGCCGCGCAGTTCGGAAATATTTCAAGCGCTTGATACGAAATTGAACGATCAAAGTTTTCCAATTCTATCGCCGGTTGGTTCTCAGCGCGCGCACGTCGCGTCGGGAAATGAACGCGCACCGAATCGTTCCGTTTTCATTCCAGTGCAACAGCTGCCAGAAACCCCTGATCTACCCTCATCAGCGACTGAACTTCTATTCGGACTACAGCCGCGTCTTCGCCTGCCCGCATTGCAGGGCGGTCGACGCGCACTTCGTGAAGCCGCTCTCGGCCTGCTTCACCCGCGAGCAATTTCAGCTCTACAGCCAGTGGCCGTAACCATTAGAGAACTTAGCGAACCGCCGCCGTTTGCGCACCGCGGCCGACCTGCGTCCCCTCTTCTACAGATCTCTCTGTTCCGGACGACCGTGCTCTAGAATCCTCCCTTTGATTTCGTAGGAGACTTTTGACAATGGCGAACGCACTCGGGGGCCGCGATCCTTTCCTTAGAGCGTGTTTCGTCGGCCGGATCCACCGATATATGTATTATTATTAATTTCGTAGAGACTTTCATTTCTGTCGATATACATATATACATATATAATATAGCTGGTGTTATATTCTTTTCTTTTGTAATCTCTCTTAGGAAGTTTTTCTTTTAATATACGATCAGAACGGTGATGTGCCAAATTGGCTGTTCTGAACGACGCTTTTAGTATTTTTAATTTGTGTATCTTGCGGTAGCAAACGAGACGGTACTTTGTGAGGCCCCTTGGCGCGTTCCCGTAGCGCTAATGAAGTTTAAGGATATATGTTTCTTTTTAATATCGATTGTATAGATTTGTTTAGATTGATCTTTTTCTTTTTTTTAAACGGGAGACGTCGAACTTTCGCCGTTCGCCGACATTTCGTTCGATGATTCGCGGCGAGGCTGGCAAAACTAGTGTATTTTTCTGTATGTTACTCTTTAAGTTTGTAGGCATTAATCGTGCGATCATTCGTTGAAATGTTAGTGGCAATTATTAATTTTTTATTAATATGCGCGATATTTATTTCACAATTGTCATTGTGAAACGTGCATCTTTGACATAAATTTTAGCAAAATTTTTCGTTAACAAATTACATATGCGTAATAACAAAATTACGCAAAATTTGACTAGCAAAGAATCATTCATTTAGCCCATTTTGAGTGATTTCGAAAAAATTTCCTATGACAATTTTCGCCGTCTCCCGTTTTATATAGTTGAATTGCTTTAAAGAAAAATTAATGCAAAAATAAATTTAGGCGAAGATAAACAATATTATTAGACGCGGAAAATAGGTCTCTTTATTATAAAAACGTCATGTATAGAAATAAAAAAGGCTATTCTTTCTAGAAAAAAGATTGTGTGAGGGGAAAAAAAAGAAATAACTATCGTTTGTTACTTAGATAAATCGAGAACGTTGTTTTTTTTACATTTTATTAGTTTATACGTTTATGGCGGCCATGTTGATTTTGTTTAAGGATCTGTATGACTCATACGAGATGAGTTTCAAACGTTGATTCGGTCGGGCGTCGCGACTTTCCGCGATTTGGGACACAGGAACGTGTTTATCAGAGGACGGACTAAATTCGCCAGTCGTAACATAAAGAAAGTAAATCATCAGAAGGAGGAGACCAATCGTTCGAGACAGACTTCCGTTCTCTCGCTGTGTACACACGATTTTCCCGTCTAGACGAAAACTGAACACTTCTCGGTTCCGTCGTCAATCACTCGATCGAGAGTATCGGACGATTCTCTCGCGGAAAGTCGTGATCGCCCCGTAGTAGCCCCAGTGTATATAACATATTAAGTGGGAGAGGAAGGCGAGTGTTTGAAGAGGAAGAGAACCTTCTTTTTTTTTTTTTTTTTGGCGATGCTGGTCGTTGCTGTCCACCAATAGCGGCCGTCCTGCAAACAGACCGCCCACCGTTCTCAAGGTAGTATAGTCGATCGTGTACCTTTTTTACGTTACTTCGATTTTTAAAAAATATACTTAATCCATGCGGCCCGGGAGAGAGAAGTATATTTAGGAGATAATAAATATGATGCCCCATGTGTGTGCGTGTGCGCGAAGTGTTTTGCGCGAATAACGAAGATGATGAAGATCGCGAAGCTGCACGGCTACTTTGAATCGTCTTTATATTAGCAATTCTGTTGGTTTTTATTATTATATATGCATTTAAGATGGAAAAAAAAAAAATGTTTTTGTTACTTATAAGTTTAATTTATTTGTAAAATTAATGTGTTTTTAATACAAGCAATATATAATTTTTTTTTATATTGATATGAATTATTAACAAGATTCCGTGTTTTTGAATTTTATTTTTTATCGCATCAATTCCAGATGCACGGAAATATTTTGTTAGACTTTTCGAAAGAAGCTGCGTTAGACATTTCTTTTCATACGCAATTTTTGATTATGTAATGTTTATAGGGAAAAATATTAAAAAGACAGAAGGCACACTTCCAGACAATATATTATCAGTAAGTACAATTTTTTAGCATAAAAAATTATTAATTTTAAGTAGTCGTGCAGTTTCTCTTACGAATTCATCGCAAAGTGAGCGAGATGAAGAAACGGATGGGAAGGGGAGTGAAAAGCGGAAAAAATTAAAAAAAAAAAAAAAAACATATGCACATAGGAGAACGCGCGATTAACAGCGCCTTTAAACGGCGCGCGTTTTCTGAGTGCGAATTAAACTCCCGCGTTATTAATTAATTTCTCGCGCGTTTAGTGCCGGAGGCAAGGACGAGTCGCGTCTGAGTTCTTCTCCGATCATATTTCGTCTCAATTGTACGTTTTTCTCAGAGTGCCAAATGAGCAATTGCCAAGCAAAGCAGCATTTCTAATATTATTTGGTTCTTTTTCAAGTTTTATTTGCACAATTCGTATTTATAATACAGTTATTCTTTATCCAATTTGCTACTTTGACAACACAGCTTTTAATAAACGCAGTAGTACGCCTGGTCGATCGACGGCTGAAGGAACTTGAATTTCGTTTTCACGACACGCACGAATAACATAAATTTGTTCGTCGAAATGTTCGCAAAGTTGCTCTCAAAATATGTGAAATTAAATCTGAAAAAATACAAGTATTAAACGCGCGACGTTCCCTTTACCTTTTTGCGCGAAGTTTACATCGAAAAGATCGTTTTCATCCAATTTTCTATTAATTAATCTATTTGTAAAAATCGTTATCATTAATATATCATTAATAATGCAAGATTGATCTTTACAAAGAAAACTAACGATACGTTTTTCAAGATAAATGAAAGATTCTCTTTGAAATTAATGCGGCAACAATTTAAGCCGCTTCAAGTTCCTTGTGCGATCGGAAATGTGTACGAGAAGTTTTCCTTGATGACTTAAGACGTGTGAACGATAGATGCACGCGTCGCCTGTACTCCCTACTGCTTTCAATTTTTAATAAGAATTCATATTAGCGGTACGCGTTATTGTTCGCTCCTCTGAGTTCCTATCGAAAGAACGAAAAAGAAAGGAACGGAGAGGATCGGTGCGATTTTAGCGGTATTTCAGAAAGTTAATCAATTATTTACCTTATCGCGACTTTGCACGCGATCAAAATCACATCGATCGTTGCATAGATTCGTAATAAAAAAAGGAAAGTGAAAGTTTTTTCGTAATTATACAATCTTACTAGATTTTTTGTGTTTCCTTCCACGATCCTTTTTTTATCTATTGAATATAATTGTAATAGAAAACTTGAGAATCGTCGAATTTGAAAATATTTTAAGAATGTTGTAAAAAGTAATATATTATTTTATTTATTTATTTTAAAAACTAGATTTGTTTCGTATAGAGGAATCAAAAAGTTTTAGCAACGATCGATCGCACGTATCAGCTGATCGTAGATCAGAGGCAAAGTCGGCAACATGCGATATAGTTGGATCATCTCTTCAGTTTTTTTTTTCTGTCATAATTTCGTGCGCAAACACGCAGACTTAAGAAACCCAATCGGATTCTTTCGAATCACCAAACTGATATCGGCGGATCCCCGGAACGTAGAGAAATGACGAATTTACTTTACGGCACTTTACCGTATAGAAGAAAAAATCGCCACGTAGAAGGGAGAAAGAAAAAGGATTAACTTTTTCATTATATATGACGGTGCCGTAGCTGCTTTTTTTCTAAGAGGACAGCAAGTGTCTTTTTATCATCGATCGTGCGTCGACGCACTTTAGCTCCGTAGTTGATAAGGCTAACGTTATATATTAGGCTAATCTTTTTTATTCGGGTAATTAATATAGCGATTTTGTACTTTTGCTATTTTCAACGACGGCGTGGGTGAAATCGCGCGACGAGAAACTGTCAAAGCTCTAACGTTGCTGCAAAATCGCTCGACATCGAATCGAATAAAGATCGACGCGAAATTAGAAAAACGAGTGACAAGAATTCAAGTTAAAAGGCTTTTCGAAGGTTTTTAAATGCGCAAGAGTAGAATTTACGAGAAGGTTTGGCATTCAGATAAATAATACACCTCCCCCAGTGATTTCCAATGTCGAATCTTTTAATAAACCTTGAAAAAAATTGAGTCTTTGACAGACACACGTATAGAAGATTAAAAAAAGAGTTTGACACTTATGAGGTTCCTCATATAATAAGAGCTCCGTTTAGAGCACAGCACTGTGATATATCTTAATTGCAGACTGGCCGATACATCGTTATGTTAATTGATGCAGAAATACGGATGGAAGAATGGAAAATATTATTGATCAATCTATAAAGTTTATATATAAAAATATCTCAAAATAAATAATATACGGATAACAAAAATAAATCCCGAAAAGAAAGACTATTTCAACCGTTGCTCGACTCCGTTGAACAAAAAGTTCTGCATCTTTCGGCAAAGTTGATAAATCTCGAAAATCCTGTATCTAGAAAGCTAGTCATATATCCAATATAAATATATGGACGGTATTTTATAAACTCTTCTAGCGCCAGCAACTGTTAGTCTGGAACCTCATGAAATATACAGTGATTTTGAATGTCAAATCTTTCAGAAAAATATTTCGTCATATTATACTAAAAAAAAAAAAATTCTCGACACAGTCAACTAACGTCAAGCAGCGTTAAATCGAAGACGTTCGCGTATTTCGACGCATTTCTCGTCCCGCCTTGTTCGCCGACGTTTAACGTCGATCTAGTGAACGTTTTGTATATCAGTGTTTTTCTATGGACGACTAGGATACCGACGAGGATGACGGCGATCTCGTCGACGATTCCTCGAGACGTCGTCGATCGGATGCTGTTTTTCTCGCGGTCCAAGGTGTACCGAGTAATCGATATATCCCGCGTTTGTGAATTTTATATAATCCGAATGGCGCGTTCGTGTTTGTGTATGGGACGGGATTAAGGAAGGGGATGGGAAAAAAAGAGAGGGAAGGGGGTTGATGAGTTTCCGTGACGGAATAGAGAGAGGTTATGAATGGTTGAATTATGAATAGAGTTTAGTGTATAGTCATTAATTCAAAAGAAAAGAAGGTTTGAATCATCGATAAATAGTAAGTTTATATAAACGACGGTTTTCTCGTAGTTAAGACACTCTTTCGTTTTCGTCGGTCGTTCACCCGGCGTCCAAAGAAAAGATAGAGGGTGAATAAGCGGTGGAAGGGAAGAAAAGGGATGAAGGCGAGATTCTGTTCTTGAGCTTCGTGTCGGGGTTGTAAAAAAAAACTTCGAGCGCGTCTCGAGGATTCTCTTCCCCGACGCCGGTCGACCTCGAATCGTGGAGGGACTCGGCCAAGATCGAAACGTCGGCCTTGAGATAGAAATTCGACCTTGGAAAAAATATTAATGTTGAATGAGTAGCTGAAAAAAAATTTTAAAAATATACACCGATCGTTCTCGATCAAATAAATAATCGTGGATCCAAGGTAGATCGCGTCGGGGTTAGAGCTTTCAAACAAAATCGGATAGACGACCGAACGAATAGTCCTAATGATAGGTTTATCGTGTCATATTGTGAATGTCCGGAGACGATTAGACGGAAGGAGAGGAAAAATTTTATTACGTACTAATCATAGTAATATTATATCGGTTGTTCATCGGAACCCTTTCACGCGGCCTTGACGGGGCTTATAGGACGTGAGGGAACGATTTTCTCGTCGGTCAAAGTTCGTTTAAATAATTCGATATATAAAATAAATAAATAGATGAAGAAATATATATATATAAATATATATATAAAAATAGATATCTATATATTATATGAAGAAATGAATAATACGTATGTTTAAGAATCATCAATTTTTGTCTCTTAGCGAGTAAGAGTCTTTACAGCTGTGCTAGACAACTATAGGTATATCGAGATATATATGTATATACAAATATATATATA